GATACTTTAGTGATTGCCAGAGCACCAAATATGCATGGAAGTTCAGAAGGTTACCCATGTTTGTTTAGTAGAACAGGAATAGAAAAAATGGAGCTATTAAAACAGCAGGTGGCTAACTTGCACATAATAGGTGAGGAGCTAAATGTCAGACAGCCCACCACCATCTTGACTCTTACTGCCCACCTGGGGACTGTTTACCTTCAGGAATGAGAGTGAGGCAGGTATTGAGGGAGATGACTGTAGGGGACACAGCTGATACTCGGTGTAGGTGTGGAGGCGTCCTGAGCAAGTGAGTAGGCAATGCAGAGGGCATTCAGAGTTAATGATGTTGGGGTTGTGGTCATAACATTTATAAGAGCGAGGAGCAAAAGTAGGCCTTTCAGCCTATTGAGTCTGCTCCATTCAATGAGATGATGGCTGACCTGATCATCCTCAGTGGCTGAGACTGAGTGAAGGAAGATGTTGTAGGCATCAGTGAAAGTGGAAAAGCATGAAACTTAGTGGGAGATGAGAACAAGAGGACAAATAGTGAGTGAAAGGTATCGGAATGAAGATGGGTGTGCTTATGCTGGAGGAGTGAGGCCTCTTCTGGAGTACTGTGTCAAGTTCTGGTTGCCCTGTTACAAGAAGGATATTATTAAGCTGGAGAGGGTTCGGAAAAGATTTACCAGGATGTTGCCATGTTTGGAGGGTTTGAGTTCTAAGGAGAGACTGGATAGGCTGGGACTTTTTTCCACTGGAACGTAGGAGGTTGAGGGGCGCCCTTATAGAAGTTTACAAAATCATGAGGGGTATAGATGTTAATGGTAGGTTTCTTTTCCCTAGGATGGGGAATTTCAAGACTAGCGTGCACATTTTTAAGGTGAGAGGAGAGAGATTTAAAAGGACATGAGAGGCAAATTTTTTACACAGATTTTTTACACAAATTTTTTTACGCACATGCCCTCTGTGTTGCCTACTCATTTGCTCAGGACACCTCCACACCTACGCATTTGTATGTGGAATGAACTTCGAAAGGAAGTGGTGGATGTGGGCACAATTACAACGTTTAAAAGACATATTTGGGTAAGTACATGAATAGGAAAGGTTTGAAGGGATATGGGCCCGGAGGAGGCAGGTGGGACAAGTTTAGTTGGGGATTATATTCAGCATGGACTGGTTGGACTGAAGGACTCTAAGTCATTGACCTGCTTCCTACAATGCTGTGCTCCTACTGGTCTAATCTGGGTGGCTACCTTGGACCAGACTGGCATGGTCTGGTGTCATGGCCCTGCAGCTGTTTCTGGGGGAAGAGGACATCCATCTTTATACCACCCTATTCAGTCAGAAGCACCAGGCAAAGTGGGGCTCCAAATTTTCCTTAATATATCCGGATATATTCTGATGAAGGGTCTAGGCCCGAAACGTCAGCCTTCCTGCTCCTATGATGCTGCTTGGCCTGCTGTGTTCATCCAGCTCTGCACCTTGTTGTCTTGGATTCTCCAGCATCTGCAGTTTTTACTATCTCTGGTGACAGTACTGATGCTGGTCAATTCTGCAATATCCCATTTATGGCCATTTGTTCAGGGAATGGCATGTGCTAAGATGGGGATAGAATTGGATGAGAGAGCTGTCACCATGACTGGGTAGGTGTTAGGACTGATACTGTGATAACCTGCTGGATCTTGTGGCAAATTCCCTCCCTCCCTCCCTGCAAAAAACTCGTACTCGGCCAAAAAATGTAATGTTCAGTCATAGAGTTTTTGCTTTACATTCATAGAATCCCTACAGTGCGGAAACAGGCCCTTTGGCCCAACAAGTCTACACCATCCCTTGGAGCATCCCACCCAGACCCATCCCCCTATAACCCATAAAAGCTACACATGCCTGAACACTACGGGCAATTTAGCATGGCCAATCCACCTAACCTGCACATCTTTGGACTGTTTGCCACAAGCAAACCGGAGCACTTGGAGGATACCCACACAGACAGGGGGAGAACGTGCAAGATTCACACAGACAGTTGCCCGAGGGTGGAATCGAACCCAGGTCCCTGGTGCTGTGAGGCAGCAGTGCTAAACAATGAGCCACTGTGCCGTCCAATGTCTTAACAACGAGTCAGAGCAGCAGAGGACGCAGAATGAAAAGGAAGTAAATGCTGTAATCCAGACCTGACTACCACATGAATACCCTGCCCCATGTGCTGAATGAATCAGCCTGTTCTCTCAGATGAAGAACCATGGCTGACACACTCAACCCTGCATTGTTCCTGAATCGAGGGACAGGTGATTACTTCTTCAGTTTACTGTCTATCACCGTGGGTTTAATTAGATCGTACTGAGAATCAATGGACCAGTTATTGGTGTAATCAACTCCCATAAGAAAGTTAACTTTTTAAAATTCTTTTCATGGCAAGGCCAGCATTTATTTCACATCCCTAACTTTCCTCGAAAATGAAGGTTAGCAGCCGTTTCTAAACCACTGCTGTCTGTTTAGAATAGGTATAAAGTAAGGTTGTTAAGAAACAAGTTCTAGGATTTTGACACAGCAACGCTGATGGAACAGTGATATATTTCCTAGTCAGGATGGTATGCAGTTTGGAGAGCTTGCAGGTGATGGTGTTCCTGCTGCCTTTGTCTTTCTGGGTGGTACAGGTTGCAGTATTGAAGGTGCTGTTGGAGGAGGCATTATCATAGCCAAAGTGCATCTTGTCTATACTGTATTGGGAGATTCATCAAACATAGGGCCATTGCATGTCAAAAGGAAGTGGTTTGATCCTCTCTTGTGGAGGACCATCATTACTTGGTACTTGTATGGTGCAAATATTACAAATATTGATATCACTACAGGCAATTCCTGAGATACAAATAGATTGCATTTTAGAGAATGTTTGTGAGCCAATTTTGTACATTAAGTCTGAACAGAACACAACACAATACAAGACGGTATAGTATAAAATAGCCGTTCATGTGAGCAAACATTTTCATGTTTACAAGCATTCGTAAGTCAGATATTTGTAACTTGGAGATCCCTTGTATCAACCTGACCTGACTGTTGACTATGTCTTACTGCAACTGGTCACGTATGCTGCGGTATATTATTTTAATATAAATTGCAAATTCTCGCTACCGAGCTAATGATAATATAAGAAGAAGATAATTGAAGTGGCTGAAGATGGTTGAGCCCAGGTCATTACCTGCAGAACTAGGAGGACTCCTTTGGTATGATGGTAGTGTCCCTATCTTTTGAGCTAGGAGGCCTGGATTCAAGTCCCACCTGCTTCAGAGGTGTGTAATAACACTGCTACCCCAAGACAGTGTTCTCCTGGGACACTTAAAAAATGCAGCCATCTTGTTTTGTACTGATATGATTCCCACCAATGGAGAGTTTTCTTCTTGATTCCCATTGACTCTTGTTTTGATACCATACAGTGTCAAATGCTGTCTTGACGTCGTGGGCAGACACTTTCGCCTCATGATTTACTACCACTTTTATATAGATAGTGCTGTTAAACACCAGTCTACTCACAGAAATAGCACCAAAGTAGCAGTTTCCCAGAATATACTGGTGCAGAAATGGAGGTGGGGATTAATTGTAGCGCTTCATCAGTGCCTGCAATGCCTGAAGTAGGAGAGGAGCATGGCACCACCAGGCAAAATGGACATAAGGGGCAGTCACTCTGGGTGCTTGCAAGCATAAACTTGCATCCTGTTATCTTGTGGTATTTGTCTGCGTGCCATGACTGTCTTGAATCTCCTCCCTGACACCCGCCCAGCGTACACACACACTCCAAAAGTACTTGCTGTATTTGCCCTTGCTTTGTTGTAGTTCCAATTAGAGAGTGCTTGATTAGAGAGTTCCTTTTATTATGTTTAGTTTTTTTTAAACAAAGCTTTCTGCAGAATTCTCACTTGCGGTCCAAGGTAGAAAATGCCCTTATTAAGAGACTAAGTCTGTGTTTGCTGTAACTGACTACAGATTTGGTGCAGGATCTTTGGCACAGCAAATGGGTGAACAGGAAGCAGATGCAGGGCAAGCTGGAAGAATTGACCAGGTGCCAAAGTCTCAAACTTAAATGAAAACCATTTTAATTAGAATTTGAGAAGCATGGCCATGTTATTCTGTCTGTAATCTATATGTCAGCACTGCAGTTTAGAGCAGACTGTTAATTTTGAACCTGGTCCCATGTTTCTGGGCTATTTTCTGCAGTATTTGAAGGTCCATCTAATGTAAATTTTTTTCCTCAGAAAGATGATTTCCTTTCTCTTTGGTGGTGGCTGTGCAGCATTTGGCCTTTGTAGTCCTGACAGAGAAAAAGAACAGAATAGAAATTTATTGTCATGTGCACTTTCCATGAAAAAATACAGTGAAAAATTTTTTATAAGTCGCCAGACCATGGCGCCCACATAGAACATAGAACAGTACAGCACAGTACAGGCCCTTCGGCCCACGATGTTGTGCCGAGCTTTTACCCTAAACCTAAGGTCTATCTAACCTCCACCCATACCTTATACTATCATCCATATGCCTATCTAATAGCTACTTAAATGCCCCTAATGAGGCCGACTCTACTACCCTCTCCGGCAATGCATTCCATGCCCCTACCACTCTCTGAGTAAAAAACCTACCTCTAACATCTCCCATAGAACATAGAACATAAAACATGTAAATGTTTTCTGAACCCGTTCCAATTTAATAGTATCCTTCCAATAGCAGGGAGACCAGAACAGTACACAGCACTCCAAAAGTGGCCTCACCAATGGTCTTGTACAGCCTCAACATGATGTGCCAACTCCTATACTCAATGAAAACCGAAAGAACTGCGGATGTTGTAAATCAGGAACAAAAACAAAGTTGCTGGAAAAGCCCAGCAGGTCTGGCCATCAACGACAGAAGTCATACATGATTTTTTTAAAAAGATGAAAAATTAAGACAAGGTTCATCGCAATTCAGTTAACGGCTCCTGAGCTCAGGGAAAGCCAGTTAAGGAATGAATGGAATACACTGAAGATGCAGCCGGAATGAGACCGCCATTCAGGGATGAGACCACCAAGCCGGGCCATTGGAATACTGGGCCGGAAGCATCCACCGAAGAAGTTGAGCCGAGACCGCCACTCCTGGACGAGACTGCCAGTCGGGCTGCTGGGATGTGTGGAAGACGAAGAAGATCTCCATGTGGGGACGAGACCTCCACTTTGGGACAAGACTGCCATGGTGGGCCGAGAAAGGCAAAAGAAAAAGAAAGAAAGCTGGTAGGAGTGGACAAACTCTGGGCTCAGTACCCCACACTCCACTGCCATCTTGAAATAGTTGGGTGAAGAGAGAGAGTAAAATCCACGCATGGTGCCCACTCCTGCCTGTTATTGCTCAGCCACTCCTGCTAAAGAGTGGGTGATGGATGAGTTCATGGATGAGTTTATATACAGGATTGGCTCAAATGCTGCTGCCATTCACTGTTTCAGCTCCGATAACACTTAAGCACTTGCTTATTTCACCCAAGAACAATATCTTAGCTTATTCAGAAGAGGACAGGACGAAATGAGGGAGCTTCTTGGGTTATGTGATTCCTGGCCTCGTATCTGACTTTTCCTAGTCCCACGGTGGAAACAATTAACAATTCATTGTCCAAAATCCAATATGCAGAGCAGTGAACATCACACCTTGGAAAGGAAGTGTGGCAGTAGTAATGGAAGCCGATTCTAGCATTCTCTCAGCTGACACAGACTGGTGATCAGCCCCACTGATCACTGTTACTGAGTCTCAGAGACATTGCATACAGAATTTTCACTGATTTGAATTGTTGTAAATGTACTTGTCAATCTTATTATGTTACCCACTTATAAAGTTTTGATGAAGTATTATGGTTATGATTCCTACATTTTGCACTTAACAGTTAAGACACACCCATCCAGATGGGGGAAGGCCATTAAAGTGGTTTGATTAATGAAGTAAATTTTATATCCTGGTGAGAATGATCAGATGTCTAAGAATGGAGTACTTGTCTCAAACACCAAAATTAAATGTTCCCCTTCCCAACATTTAAACTATTTAAATGATTATGCACTGTCCAGGATAATTGATCAGAACAATTGACGATCTATTTCATCCCCTTTGTTTTTGCGATGTTGGCAAGGCTGCATTTTATTGCCATTCGTAGTTGCCCTGAGAACTTAGTGGTGGGCCTTCTTGAGCGGCTGCAGTGTTTGAACTCTGCTTCAAAGAAAATAGGATAAAAACAAATGTGCCTGCACATGTAGTAACACATCAGTGTTAAAAATTCAATGCTGTTGTACATACTTTCAGGGCTTTTGCTTCCATAAGAGATCTGAAACACGATGGGAGACGTAAGCATAGTGCTGCTATCATTGGGTCAGTAATCCAGAGGACCAGGCTCACGCTTCAGCAAAGTGGGTTTAGCTAGTTGAACTTTACTATTTTATTGCTGAATTGATATTTAAAGTAATGAATTGAAAGACAAGATTGTCAGTAATTGGACCAAAGAAGTATTGAGTGGTGTCACTATTCGTTTGAAGATCCTAGAATACAGTATAGAAAAGATCCTTTGGCCCATCGAGTCTGCACTGACAAAGAAAAATTATACTAAATCTTTACAAATGCCACTTTCCAGCACTTGGCTCATAGCTTTGAATGTTATTACAATTCAAATACTCAACCAAGTACATTTTAAAGGTTGAGGTTTCCTGTCTCAACTACTCTCCCAGGCAGTGCAGTCCAGATTCTCACCACTATATGGGTGAATTTCTTTTTTCTTAAATCCCTTCTAAACAACCTAAAAAAACAAGCCCCCTTGTTATTGACCCTTCAACTAGGAGGAGCAGCTGTTTTCTGTGTGAAATAAATCCACAGAGGCCAGTATCCCATTCACAAACTCACCCTTTATTTCTAGGTGGAGAGTCCTTGACACTGATCCAGCTTAAAGCTCGCTCTGAGTGAAATGGACCTCTGACACTACTGTTTATATCTCTCAGTCAAGGCTCCCTGATTGGACTAGATTAAAACAGTCCCAATCAGGGACTGAGAACAGCTTCTTCCCTGCTGCCATTAGACTGAATGGACATCTCTAATATTGATCAAAAACAAAGTTGCTGGAAAAGCTCAGCAGGTCTGGCAGCATCTGTGAAGGAGAAAACAGAGTTAACGTTTCGGGTCCGGTGACCCTTCCTCTAATATTGATCTTGCCTTTATTCACCTCCTGTGCAGCGTAACCTTGTATGCCTCACTCTCTGTCTAAACACCCTATGATCTGTATGTCCTTGTATGTTATGATCTGCCTGTATTGCTTGCAAAACAAAACTTTTTACTGCACTTAGGTACATGTGCCAGTACTAAATCAAATGCTCATCTAACTGCAATTGCAAGTGTGCAAGGCTCATGTCTAGCTTTGTGAAGGACAGCACCCCCCGCCAGCTTTGCGCAGCAGAGCGAACGGGCCGAGTCCCAGGGGGTGGTGAAGCGCAAATGGGCTGAGGCCCACGTTGGGGGTGAGTGAATATAGAGTATTTATATGAATCAGAATACCCTTTATTGTCATGTACACCCAAATGAGTGCAGTGAAAAGTTTGTGTAATGTCGCATTTCAGCGCCATCTTATGTACAGAGGACCTAGGTACAGATTTTTTAAGTGTAGTTACCAAGCAAAAGACTGAAAGGAGTTAAGCTGTTAATTTACAGGCTTCAAAATCTTCTCAATAGTTCAACCCCTCATTTACACTGCTACTAAGCAAATAATTCACAAAGACATAAAACGTTGGAAATATTCAGCAGAACGTGCAGCATCTGTGGAGAGAGTGTCACAGTTAATGGATTCAGTCTGTGGCCCTTCATCAAAACAATCTCCAACAGTTTCGTCACTGACCTTCCCTCATAAGGTCAGTAATGGGAATGTATTTGGATTTGCTGCTACTTGTATTGTCAAGAAATTATTACGGGAATCAAGGTTTTGGGGAAAATGCAACAAAGTGAACATGAGGCATGTCAGATCAGCCACGATCCTATTGAATGGCAGAGCAAGCTCGAGGGGCCTAACGGCCTATTCCTATTCCTATTTCTTATGGTCTTATGGCCTACGGACGAGTCAGACCATCATCACATCTTGACAGCCAATGACATTACGATCAATAAATCCCCCCACATCAACAGCATTTATCAGAAATGCAAGTCAAAACAGTCATTTTAATATAATGGCAACAACAGCAGGGCAGAGGCTGGGAATGCAATCCCTGTGGTAAGTAACTTACCTCCTTCCTCAAAGCCTACAAGGTATAAGTCAAGCCCACAAGGTACAAGTCAGGAGTATGACTGACAACCCTCCATTTGCCTGTAATTGCTGTACCAACAAAACTCTAGATGGTCAGCACAAGCGATAACAAAGCAGCCCACTTGATCAACACTCCATGTGCTAACTTAAACATTCAATCCCCCAACATTTGGGCACAGTGGCAGTAGTGTGAACCATATACAAGATGCACTGCAGCCACACACCAAGGTTCTTTCAACACCTTCAAGTGCAGCATGAGAACACCACTACCTGCAAGTTCCCCTCTGTAGCATCCGGGCTTGGAACTAAAATCACTTTTTCTTCAATTTCACTGGTCAAGATCATGGAACTCCCTTCCTAACAACACAGTTGGTACACCTGCATAATATGGACTGCAGCTATTCAAGAAATCAGCTTCCTGCTGTCTTTGCAAGGACAATTCGAGACGGGCAATAACTGGCAGCCTGGCCAGCGGCACTCACGTTTCAAGATCAAATTTTCTTTTTTTAGAAAAACTGGAATGCTAGAAGTGCAATAGATTTTAAACAGCTGAACAGGGGCAGGTAAGAAAAGAACAAAAGGGATGGGATAACAAGGTGTAGAGCTGGATGAACACAGCAGGCCTAACAGCATCAGAGGAGCAGGAAAGCTGACGTTTCCGGTCTGGACCCTTCTTCTTTCCTGCTCCTCCAATGTTGCTTGGCCTGCTGTGTTCATCCAGCTCTACACCTTGTTATCTCAGATTCTCCAGCATCGGCAGTTCCTACTACCTCTCAACAAAAGGGATTGTCTGTGTTAGGATGGAAAATAAGGGAGATTAAATGACAAACAAGTCAGTTGTAGAATGCCAAATGGAGCAGTGATGGGGCAAGAAAGAAATGGAATAATAGATGTGTCTAGAGCAGCTGTAAATGGCTGATATCTCTTAGGGGATTTAACTCCTCACAAATATTGGACAATCTTGGATCCCTGGCTTTCTGTGATAAGAGGAAGATAAATACACAAATATAAGTCGTGAAGTCCGAGGCAGGCACTGAAGACTGCAGGCAAGTTTTATTTTAAATCCAACTACTCAAGCTATGTTTTGGATGTGCCAAAATATATTACATTTCATTCTCCATTATGTTTAGAGGGAGATAGAAAATATAAAAATAGCGCAGGGAATAGGGTGTGGTTTAATTCATAGGGATGTCACAGGAAATTTGAAACTTTATTGATTGGTGTGCAGCTATGTAAAACTAATAAAAGTATAATTTTATAAAGGAGAAGTAGCTACTTGGATTTCAGGAAAGGAACAAAGGAAATGGGAGGTAAAATTAAATCGAGTCAAAGTAAAGTAAACAGTAAAGTATGGTTAAATGGATAAAAAAAGTTAATGTGAATGAAGTTAGGTAGCTAGTACATTTTATCGTAAGATTATATTTATTTTAAGGGTATTTTCAAAGTTATGGAATGGTAAGTCAGTGGAAACAAGTGGAGCATGTATCCCACAGTCTGTGAAATCATGGACGTACTTTGTGTCCCACACAAACTCATCTGAAGAAGTGTCACTGCTTACACAAGCTTAATCCGAGTTCCAGAACTCTAGGGTAGGGGATCAACCAAAAGTTGTGGAACACAATAGTACCAACAGCAAAGACTTGAAGAGGAATGAGGTCCTGAAGGCAACTTTCAGGAAGTTAGGAAGGAAATTTAAAAAAAAAACAGGCTCTCAAAATTACTCCCAGTGCCATGTGTTAGTGAGTGCAAGAACAGAAGAGCTAATTGATTAAATACAAAGCTGGAGAATAGGTGTAGGAGGAAGCCCATTGGATATTGGAGACACTAGGACCTAGGGCAGGTGGGATCTGTGCAAGCTGGTCAGGTTACACCTTAATAGGAGTGGAACTGATGTGCTTTCAGGGATATTTGCTAATATTTTTTGTGGTGGGTTTAAACTAGCTTTTCACTCATCCCTAAAGGTTCTTACAAGAT